CTTACAAAAGCCCACATATTATATGATTCCAGTCATATGAAATATCCAGAACAGGTAAATCCATAGAGGCAGAAAGTACATTAGTGGTTGTCCACAGCTATGAGTTTGGGGGGAGGATACTGGTAGTGACTGCTAATGGGTATAGGGTTTCTTTTTGGAGTGATGAAAATTGATTGTGGTTGCACAACTCTGAGTATACTTAAAAAACACTGAATTTTACACTTTAAATGGGTGAATTGTATGATATGTGAATTGTATCCCAACAAAGCTGTTAAAAAATGTTCTTCCATGGAACTTTCCCTTTCTACTATAGTCCACATTAATCACTCCACTCTCTCTCAACTCCTATAGCTCTTAATAACTGTACTGTACAATTTAACACTCAGTTAAGCTACCTGATAATGTTTATTATTATTTAATGTAGATTAGTCTGTCAGCCAGACTACAATTTTCCTGAGAGGAATAAATAAGTCTTCTGTTTCTCAGATAGCTCTAAACTGACTGATGAATCACTGGGGAAAAAAATAAAAAATAAATAAAAATAAAAAGTAAAAAAAAAATAAAGTGTTATGGCTCTTCCTGAATATTAAAAAAAAAAAAAAGATAGCTCTAAACCACCTAACACACAACTGGGCACACAATAAGTACTCAGTAGATTACCTGGTGATTGTAAAGAGCAGATTGAATGTACATGTGCTTGTTTTCACACACGTGTGTTAAAGACACACAGAAGCTGGGGGGAATGAAGACAATCTTATAGATAGTGAGGTGAGAGAACGACACTATGTGAAACTGCAGAATACAAGATTTATTTCAGGGAAAAAAAACAGCATGGTTTGGACACTTTTGTTCTCCCCTCCTTCAGCCTGCTGCTGCTCAATGACACCACATGGCCAACCATATCCTGGTCTCTGAGATTCTAAGGGAACCACTGAGGTCCTATCTAGATACTTGACTGGTGTCACTATTCCCCCATTGCTTCCTCCTCTTCCTCCTCCTCTGTCCAGCTCAGATCATCATCTGAATCCTCAGATTCTTCCTCATCCATCTCTAACCCAACCCCTGCCTTAGCCTTCTCAGCTAGTGCATCGGGGTGCTCCAGCTGGGCCCAGGATCCTGGGTCAGCCTTGACCAAGGAGATTTCAACCCGAGATGGCATCAAGGAGACAGAGCTCTGCTCCACGTTTATGACCTGAGGAGGAGGAAAAGATAGAGGAACACAAGAAGAAGAAAATGAGGAAATCAAAGGAATTGGGGTCAGGGTGGGTGGTAATGAATGACAAAGAAAAATAAACAAATGTAAGGTGGGCAAAACAAGATAGGGGAGGAACAAAATGATATAGTAACAAAGGGAGAAAGAGGAAAGAAGGAGGAGAAGGAGGAGGGGAGAGAAAAAAGAGAAAGGGGGAGAAAGAATATCAAAGCAAATGAAGAGAAAACCTCCACTTTCCCACTATAATTCCTTCCCTCAAGACACCCTCTATTCATTCCAGTCTGGTCCTTCTTTTTACCCCATCTTCCTCCCCCTCCTGTGCCCCTTATCTTCACTTACCCCCCAGAGCTTCATCTGTGCCTGGAACACACGGTTACCATCAAAGACAATGTGGATATGGAGCTGAGAAAAAAGAATTACAGGGGTGGTAACAATCCTAGAAGGTCAGAACAAGTTATTACAACAGAGAACCAGGCCAGAGGTGTGAGCCCTATATCCACAGGTCAGCCAGATAGCCCTGACCTACTAGCTCTTCCTCTCAGGGGACTATGGAGCCCACATGTTTGCTGCATACAGCAACTCTGCCTGTAAAACTGTAGTATCACCCAATTCACCAGCCTCCCAACCAGCATCAGACATTCCTCACCTCAGTTTGACTGGCCTTCACCCAGTTGAACGCAGGAAGTGGAATCTGGCCATATACAGTCACCACTACTAAGGAATCTGTCTGGTGCCAATCATGACGGCAAGACGCTGGCAGCTGAAGAGAGGATGTGAAATGTGTGTGGTAAGAATGAACTCTTCACCCAAGGGAAGTTCTCAGGTGTGTCTAGAGAAGAGACACAGAATCTCAGAAAGATTAATACTACTTCACATGGCAAAGCCTCCAGGCTGTTGAGGATAAGCAGAATCTTATTTGGTCTGTACAAAAGGGAGGAGATAGAGAGCTTGGCCATGAGGTACAAGGAGGGGTAATTATTTCTGGAATTGGGTTCTAATTAAAAGTTCAAGAAAGCTGGGCTTACCTGCTTCCCCCAGTCATGCCTACCAACTCTGCATCCTGGCTGTGCCAGGAATGCCCCAAAATCCAGGGTCTGGATGCCACAACAGCTCCAAGACTTCATCCTGGGGTAGGAGGATAATTCAACTGAATCTCCTTTCCCCTCCCCATGAGCTCCCACTCCCATATTATGATCAACAGTGGGAGAAACTGGCCTTATAGACCCTACCCAGTCCCCTCTCTCACCCCTCATGGAATCGAGGTGCTCCTGGGTGGTAGGTACATGGAGTAGCATCACTCTCAGGGCCTTGGTAAACCTTAAGATAGGTAAAGGAGAATCAGAAGAATCAGGTCATTCTAAAGTATACCCCACACAGCCTCATATCTATACCGTCATCCCAGGTATAGCATCTCTCAGCCACATGCTTGCACCCCTTATAAGCTCTCACTCACAGCATCACATCCTGGATTCTGGCAGCTGGAACCAGTCCGGATCAGACTACTGTCAAGTCCTGAGCAAAGGAAACAGAGTCAGGAATCTATCTATTCCCTCCACCTAATTGCCACTTTCACTAAATTCCGGTCTGCAAAGCCTGTCCTACTAAGGACCCACTTACCTGCTCCAGGTTCCTGGTCTAATTCCTTCTGTTCCAATGCCATTTCCAGGGCTTGGGATATATTTAGTGGAAGCAGCTTTGGAGGCAACTCTGACCTAGGGGGTATGGGTGGGGTGATTTAGTTCTGACCCATTAACCAAGATCATTAGCTCCAACACTCCCACCAGTTGTAATGGTGTCAGAGAAATCTGGTGAAAGTGGGGGCAGGGTTGGAAAAGTTGGGTAGCAACTCCATTGCCAATTATCTTCTTTGTGGACATCCCAAGTCCCTGAACCCTGGGGAAATCCCTAGGGCTTTTTTGCCCATCTACTCAGTTGCTCTCAATCTACATTTCTTTGCAGAACTGCATCATATCCTCGTCCTCTTCTAATTGTGGACCTAATGTGACTTTCTTCTGTTGCTCATGCTACTTCCACAAAATTAATTTATTCTCTACAGCCGTTTGGCTGTCAATACTGCATCTTTTTCTTGATGTAAAACTCATTTTAAAGCTTTTTTCCAAAAAGAAAAAAAAATCAAGTCATTCTCAACAATCTCTCTTGTATTATTAACTACGTATTTATGAGGGGCCATCTACTCTATTGACTTTAAATACCTATCCCATCACCCCCATACCAACCTTAAAGCAAAGACATTATTTCTGGATACAAATTTCCCCTAAGGTATAAAATATACACAAAACCCTGACACTTGGCCCTCCTCTTATCCCTAGTCCCCAAGCCCCAGTGACCCATTAATCACTTCTAGGAAGCTCCATGAATGTAGGAAAAACCCAGGGACTTCCTCCTCTTTACTTGGGCCTCTCCCGACGCAAAGTCTCTGCTGACTTTGGAATCGTATTCAGAGGTTTTTGCTCCTGAAGTGAACTGCTTGTGGCAGGCACCTCAGGTTGAGGAGCCTCAGGGAGCTTCTCAGCACAGTGTGGTCCCACAGTACAGCCCTAGTACAGATAAGGAAAGAAGGTTTAGGGATAGAATCCTTCTATTAGGGACAGAATCCAAGGAAGTAAATAATTTACCTTGATGTTTAAGAACTCAGAGAAATCTACAGTTCGCTTCCGGCAGCAGGACCAACCCTGATAACAAAAGACCCAGCTCAGCTTAGATTCCTGGCTATATTTCCTTTGGGAAATGCTCTTGCTATCCCCTCTTGCCTACTCCTCACCTTCAGTGCATCATGGAAGATTGGGACCCCAGGGTGATGGCAACAGGAATCTGTGGATACCAGCAGAAGGATCAAGGAAAGGCAACTATACCAAGTATCACTTCTCTTACTTCTTCCACAGATTTATATGCTCATGGTTTTTCTTTAGAACGTAAAAATAAGATTGAAGACCACCCAGACCAATTAAATTAGGTCAGATACACTAAATTTCTCTGCTCCTTTAACAGACTGCCCACAGCTGACCACTCCCCCAGCACTCACAAGAGCCCCCTGGCAAAATCAGAATTAGTTACTCACCAGGAAGGTTGGCATTGGGGTCAAAGTGCTGCCCACAGCCTTTGTTATGGCAGAGTAGAGACATGGAGGACGTTGGTAGAATTACTGAAAGGGTATTTCAAGGAGTCTGGCTGCCGAGTGGGGAACACCTCTTAGTCTGGAGGCTTTTAGCTGTCTGCAAGGGCCAGCTGTTTCTATCTTTAGTTCAGGAGGCGTACACCTCCTAACATGGGCAAGGGAACTTCAACTGGTCTTCTCAACCAATAGGAGAGCGCTCAGGAGCATTTTAGCTCTGGAGCTCAAGAAAAAAGGATCAGGCAGAGTAGGGCTTGGAACTTGGGTGAGGTCAGCTAACCACTGCTGAGACAGTTTTAGATTTACCAGGCCAATTCCAAGCCTCTGACATACCAGCAGCTGCTCAGAAATGAATCCCAATTTTGAGACCCCTCCCAGCTCAACGAAGGTACCCCCGTTCCTCCAACTCATTTTCTTCCTCTTTCAAAGCAGCAGCTTTCCTCTCATCCTCATTGCTTCTGTGTACCGCCAATAGCACCAATCTTTGTCAACCACAGAAGCCATAGTATGCATCCAACCTCCCCAAATTTGCCTAAATGGAGGATTCATACTTTTGAGCAAAAGGTAGTAAAGGATTATACTTATCAAACCTATGCTTATCTCTTGAGACAGACCTCCCCTCCCTCCATTCCCTTTCAAAAACAGCACAGAAAATTAAAAGGCTTAAAATGTATTTTAATAAGTTGATGCTGTATTACTGCTCCATTTCTCAGAAAAACTCCAAAGATATCAGGGACAAATCAAACATGGTACACCAATAAAAAAAAATGCACAGCGTAACTACCTAAGATAGGCAAGGCTAAGAGCTACTGTCCGACCTTCAGCATACAGCAACCCTGTTCCCAAGATTGTACTAGGCCTATCAAGAAAAGCTGTGAACAGCAACATCATAGACACAAAAGGGCCGTTCCTGGGTTGTCCTAACCCAAGAAAAAAGATGGAGGCAACTTAACACAAGATTTTTTTTTAAAGATACACTAAAATGAAAATCTCTAAGAGAAAATGTCTTCCTTAGGACATGAAGGGCTAATATATGGGATATAACAGAACCGTATGTATGTTGTCTGTGACCTCTGTGGACATTGGCCTGAATTCCCACCTGCGAGTGAATGGAACAATGGGGCTAAGGTCATTGGGGGATGCTTGTTTTTGTGGTGTATATGGCAGTGTCTCTGGGGTTGGAGGGTATAATGAGGAACCAAATAGAACAAGATGGACAAAGAATGGAATGATCAAGATTAATGGGGGCTCTAACTGGATCCATTTTGCCATGGTCCCCCCCCACAGGCCCTCAACAATCACATGAGACTTCAGGAATGCACCACACAAAATCAATTAGTTAAACGATATACCACACAGAACTGATTTGTTAAATATCGCCCCTCCCTTGCCCTCAGCCTCCAGCAAACTCCCTCAGAGTAGTACAGGCAAGGAAGACCTAACTATTGGGAGGAATCCCTAACACTTTTCCAGGGCAGAATTCTGGCTAGTCCAAAAAGGGTCCTTCTTTTAAGGGTTTTTGGGAAACTAGACATTGAAATTTTTATTAGTATCGGCGACGTTTGTTTGGAGCAAATTCAGCTCCAGGAGCTGCACGGTTGAATGCAGGAGGGGTTCCACCAATTGCCCCAATTCCTTCCATTGTAGCAGCTTGGCCAAAGCGTTCAGTTGTTGGTGGGGTCTTAAAGAGAAAAAGAGAGCAATGTTACAATAGAATCTATGTCCCAAGCTTCCCACCCATTTGTAATCCCGCCCCTGGAGGCCATTTCCAACCGACTATTCAAAGCTCTGATGTGCTAGGGGAGACTAAGCCTGTTTAGAACTATAGTGGATATCCCTGAAAAGAAAGCTGTCTGAATTACAGACCCACCCAACTATCCTACCTTTATCTTCTTATCCCAATTCCTACTGATTAAATAATATTACATAGTAAATTCCCAGACTAAGTTCCACCTAAGTCCCTTTCCCCAAACTAAGTACAGTGACAAGGACAAGCCATCACTCTTCAGCAACCTTAAGCGCACCCAGTTTTAAAATTTTGACACTAGAACTGTAACTCAGGATTGTATGAGCAATCTTTTTGGATTCCTATCTATTTTATGTGATAATACCTAACCTTCATTGCCTTCCCTCCAAAAACAAACAAACAAACAAAAACCACCAAACCCCTGTTACCTCCATTAACTCAGGGTAGCAACTAAACAGACTGGCCAGTCAAAGGCATTTACTTAACTCCCAGACAAAGTATAGTTTGAGACTGGGTTTGTTCAAGATTCAAAAATCAAGACCTTGAGGTTACATTTAATGGAAAACAGCGGCCCTAAAACCCGAGTATCTGTAGCAAAATTGTGGCAGGCACAGGGACTGAAAGCAAAGTCCTTTCTCCTATCACCCTTCAGAATTACTGTAAAGTTCTGCAGTTTATTACCAATCCCAAGGTTCCATCTGGCATCATAGTGGCAGGTCCTGGAGGAGCTGGGGTACCTGCTGGCACTGGAGCAGGGGGCATGGCGCCTCTGTTGTTGATGCCCATAGCACCTAAAGCAGAATAGTGTGATCAGTACAGGAGACAGAGACTGTCAGTTTCTCTCTGTGCAAGAGAAAACAATTCAACAAGACCTCTGAGCTAAGGACGTGTTACCCCCCCCCAAAAAAAAACGATGCTCCCAGAAATGTCAGCCCCTTAAATCTGGACTATGCCTGAGAAGCCACATAGTTCACCAGAAATGATACAAAAAAGGAAACCAGAGCCACTAACCTCCTAAGTTCTTACCTCCCATAGCCATCTGGCCCATCCGTATCTCCTGTTCTCTCTGAAAAATAAGAAATACTCAAAACAGTCCAAGATAGCACTGCATTCTACCATTCACAATACGTTGAGGACCACACACTAAGGGAAGCAAGTAGAGTGATAACACATTCCTCCCAAGCACACTGAGGCCAAGCTGAGGAAAACCAACATCTCCTTGCTAGGTGTGCAGTTGAGTTCAAGGTTAGGACAAGGATACAAGTCAGAGTCTCCTATTAGGAACAGAAGAGGTAAAAGGCAAGGGGAGAGATAGCTGACTTCTTCTAGGACCTTAATCTGTGCAACAACTCCAAGGACATCAGAGAACTAGTTAAGGATGCTATCGGACTGGATATATTTCATCATGCAGTCACTGAGTCCAAACAGTGTAACACTGGCCCTAGCTCTTCATCCTAAATTGCCTGTGAGGCAAGAACTCCCCTTCAAACCTTACCTTTTCTTCCTATGAATTCTTCTTTCTAAAAGGAGTTTCACAGAATATAAAAACTGGTCATAACCCGGTATGTTTTATAGTCCTAGTGGACAACTCATGGTGGGTTTCTCATATCGTGACTGGCCTGGTACATCATGGGCACATGGGAGATATACCGCATCGGGGAATGTTCCCTTGAATCCTTCCTGCTGTCGCCGCATCATTTCTTCCTGTTGCCGCCGCATCTCTTCCTCACGGCGCCTGCGTTCCTCCTCCTGCCTACAGAAGAGTCACCAAGGTATTTAGCAGAGACATTCCAGAACTTGAGCAGATTATCTTAACAGGGGAGATCGAGAGCCTACTGGAAACTATCATAGCTCTGCAAGAAACTCACTGTTCAATGTGTCCAGCCCTAAAACAAGCCAAACGTGTCATTCAGGGGAAAAAAAGTTCTCCTTTCAGAAAGGAGCTTCATGACACCAGCACTCAGCTGCTTTCCCTTTAGTGCAGCCCTGGGTAATTCCTAGAGTCATGGGCAGCTGAAACATTTCCCATCCAAAGGGAGAACTTGAGAAGCATCCAGGAAATATTTACAAATGCATGAGGTAGCATGGTAGTAGGAAACAGGAGTGAGACATTACCTCTTAGAGTTGTCAGAGAAAAAGGGTTTGAGAGTTAGTTACCTGAGTTCCAGCTGCTTTCGTTTTTGCACTTCTTGGTTGTGCAGCTCTTCCATCCTCCGAAGTTCTTCTTGACGCCTCATCAAATCTAGAAAAACAGTAAACTGATTCAGAGTATTTTTCATTCTCCTCATATAGACTCAATAATTTTCCATAAATAAAGATCCAGAAAGCAAAGGGGATATATAATCCCTGCGTGGCCATCTGAGCTATCCAGATTCCAAAAATGAAGTCAAACCTATTATTTCCTTCTCCACAGAATCCAGTATTCTCTGTCACATCTCCAAGCTCATTTGCCTACCAAGATCAACAAAATATTTCAGAGAATAAAAGCAGAGATTTAGGCTTTTCTCTACCAACTGATAAAAAAAATTCCTGAAAAAAGTCATTTTGTTCTTGTTCTAGGTTTAAGACCTACAGGTCTACACTCACCCTGTCTCATTAGCATAACCTGGTGCTCATGGCGAGCAGCCTCCATCTCCATCTCCAGCTTCTCACGAGCTTCCTTGATGTTGCGGTCCACTTGGTCCTGCTGCTGCTTCTCCATCTCAATGAGTGCCTTCCAGCGCATGGCATACTCATACTCAAAGGAGCCAGGCTGTGCAAATCTGGGTGGCTGCTCTCGCTCCCTATAGACAAGGTTCCTGGGTTATTAAAACTTTGTCCAAGATTCCCCCAACTAAGCACTGCATTCCTCCTGAGGGCCAAGATCATGGCTGCCAGTGAATACCTATAGGAAAGACCTGCCTCTTTTACACATCCCTTTACAAGCTTCCTTAAGAATACACAAGCACCTAACAGGGAATCTGTCAGAACCACATACTTGTGAAATTGCTGGTTCTTTATAACCAGCTTCTCTGGAAGTCCCTCTTCATCATCCAACTGGTCCATGGGCTCCACAGTCACAGGCCGAGGAAATCTGGAAGAAAGAAGCTCAAATTATACCCTACACCAGGCTTCCTCCCTATACCTGCCACTGGCACAATAAAGTAGATAAGGATCAGGACTGGATAATTAAACATATTTCTGAAGGAATTTTTACACCCAGCCCCAAGTAACCAAGTTCTTTTAATGGCATTATGTGGAATCTGGGGTTGATAGGATGGCATGAGGCTTTAAATCTCAGAATAGAGCCTTAAAGATGTTCAAAGTAAGTAGATAGGATACTTAAGTGCAGTTTAAATACCCCATATCTGTAAAACTCCAGACAATGACTTGAAGTAAACACAGAGAGGCTGCATGCACAAAACAACTTTTCAGAGTTCTAAGACTTCAAAGGGGAGATTTAACACTGATTAAATGACAGCCTACTAGAAGACTGAAAGGTTTATTTCTTAATCCTCATACTATTTCCATTAATTTAAGATGACACTGAGAACCCTACTGGAAAGCTGAATTAGTATCCAAAGTCTCTAGGTGAACACAAAAGCATGGTTCCTACAGGCTACCTTCCCACACCACCGAAGGAAGTAGCAATCTAAGGTCTATTACTAAAAGCAGCCCTTCACTTACGTGGTTAGCAGGAAGGAGCCTTCACTGCACCTGTCCAGAGCTTTCCGAGCAGCTGGCTTCCCTGAGAATTCAACAATGCCTTTTCCTGAGGGCCTTCCTCGATCATCCACAATGACTACAGCCCTTTCCACCTGGCCAAACACCGAAAAGGCTTCCTCCAGCAGTTCATTGGAAACATACTGAGGAAGGTTTCGGACTGTAAGGGATGCACTATGGCAGGCAAAGCGCACACGCAGCTGCTTTCCACGGAGTGGCATGTTGTCCAGTTCTACTTTGGCAATCTCCGCTAGGGTTCGTGTTTCCTAGAAGCAGAGGAAAGTTAGAATAACTCAAGTTTGACAATGACCACAGGCACAGCCATCAAGAGTCTAAAGTAGCATAGCCCAATATAAAATGTCTGCCCGCCCCAAAACCCTGACAACACACAAAGAAACCTTGATATCCTGAAAGAATCGAAATTACATGTTTCAGATAACTGTTGGATAGTCTAATTGCTCTGATAGCCTTGCAATAAATCAACTGGAAATTCTAGAAGTTAATACCACTTACATGGTCATCAGTATCATATAGGTTATTCTCCCAAGTGGTATAACAGATCATTGGGACAAGGACCAGCCTAAAACCTACCCTTACAATACATCAGCCAGAGTATTTTAATTTCAGCTAGCTACATACAAGTTTAATGAGAATCATGTATGCCCTCCATTGAGACCTCTTTAGAACCACAGACCCTAATGGGAACCCCCTCTCATATTACTAAAGAGGAACCTCAAACCCCAGAAAAAATGACTTGCCCATGTAATCTTGAGTCAGTGGTAGATCTGGAATGAAAACTAGTTCTGACCACCACATCTACTGAACTTGCTAACACCTTATATTCCTTGTTTATGTAGACAATGCCTAAAAAAGTTCCTCCCTCATATACTTAAACATGTTTCCTAATCAAATCTGTCTTTATAAAAAAGATCTACACTTAAAAATGGTTAAATAATAAATTTTATGTGTATTTTAGCACAACTTAAAATTTTTTTAAAAAAATAGATACGGGGGCGCCTGGGTGGCTCAGTCATTAAGCGTCTGCCTTCGGCTCAAGTCATGATCCCAGGGTCCTGGGAT